AACATTTTATTTAATTTATTCAAACTTCACCTAACGTTTTAATTTAAGTTATGAACTTAAATTAATCTATATGTATAATTTTATTCTTAACTTGCTGAACTTTCAAAAAAAGTTAAATTTTGGTTATAATTTACCTGATTTCACAATCCATCTATAGTTCCCGGGGGACATAAGTGACATAATAGGCAATGATAACATATTCTCTGACAAAATAATGGAAGTCGCACCCCCGGGAACGCGCCTTCAAGTCCCCTGAGAAATAATAGGTACTGATATGAATAGTATCCCCGAAGGACATGAGTGACATAATAGGGCAATGATTACATATTCTCTGACAAAATAATGGAAAACGCACCCCCGAGTACGCGCCTTCAAGTCCCCTGAGAAATAATAGGTACTGATATGAATAGTGTCCCCGAAGGATATGAATGACATAATAGGGCAATGATAACATATTCTCTGACAAAATAATGGAAGGCGCACCCCCGGGAACGCGCCTTCAAGTCCCTTGAGAAATAATAGGTACTGATATGAATAGTGTCCCCGAAGGACATGAATGACATAATAGGGCAATGATAACATATTCTCTGACAAAATAATGGAAGGCGCACCCCCGGGAACGCGTCTTCAAGTCTCCTGAGAAATAATAGGTACTTATATGAATAGTGTCCCCGAGGGACATGAGTGACATAATAGGGCAATGATAACATATTCTCTGACAAAATAATGGAAGGCGCACCCCCGGGAACGTGCCTTCAAGTCCCCTGAGAAATAATAGGTACTGATATGAATAGTGTCCCCGAAGGACATGAATGTCATAATAGGGCAATGATAACATATTCTCTGACAAAATAATGGAAGGCGCACCCCCGGGAATGCGCCTTCAAGTCCCCTGAGAAATAATAGGTACTGATATGAATAGTGTCCCCGAGGGACATGAGTGACATAATAGGGCAATGATAACATATTCTCTGACAAAAAAAATGAAAGGCGCACCCCCGGGAACGCGCCTTCAAGTCCCCTGAGAAATAATAGGTACTGATATGAATAGTGTCCCCGAGGGACATGAGTGACATAATAGGGCAATGATAACATATTCTCTGACAGAATAATGGAAGTCGCACCCCCGGGAACGCGCCTTCAAGTGAATAATACCCCGAGTATAGACACTATTATATGCAACATATTATAAACTTTCAAAACAAACTTCAGTTCACAAGCTTTCAAATTCTCAAATTCCCAAACTCTAAATTCTCAAATTCTTTGAAAATGAGTCGTCTTTCTGCTGTTGTTTTGTATGATGGAGAAATTAAGGAAGCTGATGAGGGGGTTGTTTTTGAATCAGATCATTATATCCCCTTAACCTTGAAGAGAAACATCACAATTAAGGAGTTAATCACAAAAATTTCATTAAAGATTCGTGTAGCAGGCCAGAGAAGACTATCTTCACTTCAGTACAGATTTCCTACTGAACTTTTTCCGCTCACGTATACATCATTTCAGCTTTCAAACGATGATGATGTTTCTATGATGGTTGATGCTCATATGGGGAGTTCACAATCTCTTATTGAAATGTATGCCACTTTTATTGAGGTTCGTGCTTCTCGTGGTCTCTCATATTCCTCTCACTTTGGCATTGCATATCAAACTGATCAAGTTGATAGTCCAACACAACTGATCTGTACTGATTTCACATCATTAATGGCGGATCCAACTTCAATAGGAAGGCATTCATCTGCAACTGCTTATGATCTCAACCCACATGGCTTCACCAATAATCCATATGGCAACATCTCTTCTACTTCAAGGGGCAGACATTCATATGCCAATGTTTTCGACTTACATATGGAAATGCCAACGAGACGACAGTCTATTCACATCCCACATGATACAATGACCTCAAGTTCAAGGGGAGGACACGCAAGCGAGAACTTATTTGACCTCAACATTGGATTACCGGAGGAACCCTCATCTCCACCAGAAGAACCTCTTCGGGAGCCAGGTGCAGCTGGTGCTGAAACGGGATTATTCGTTGAACCTGACTCACCATAGTTTAACGTACATTCTGATGATGACGAGGATGACGTTTCGATAAATACAACACCAGCCGAACTTCCTGCACATATGTATGAGGCTGATTATGATGCAATGTATGAGCCTGAATTTCCAGAACTTCCTGATGTTGGCAACTATGGACTTCAATCATCAGTCAATGACGATAATTTACATATTGGAATGGAGTTCGCATCGAAGGAGGAAGCAATGTTGGCAATAAAGAGTTACAATATTCGTAACTCAGTTCAGTCCCGAGTTGATCGATCTAACACGGAGAAATATGTCTGCTACTGCGTCCAACGTGACAACGGATGTCAATGGATGGTCCGTGTATCAAAGAGGAAGAAGAAGAACAACTTATGGGAACTAACCAGATACAACGGTCCTCATACATGTTGTGCAAGAGGTATAAACCAGGATCATCCCAACTTGGACTCCAACATTATTTGCCAAGCAATCATGCTCATTGTGAAGCAAAGCTCTCATATAGCTGTTGCAGTGTTGATTTCTGCTATACAGTCACAATATGGGTACACCGTCTCATATAAAAAAGCGTGGTTGGCAAAACAGAATGCCATTTGCAAACTTCATGGCGAATGAGATTCCTCTTACAACGAGCTGCCCAGTTGGTTTCATGTTGTGCAAAGACTCAATCCCGGGACAATTGTTGAGTTCGAAACTCAACATCATTACGTGAATGATCGAATGGTTCGCGATCGCTGCCAATTTTACCGTGTCTTTTGGACTTACCCTCAGTGTATTAATGCAGTCAAGTACTGTAAACCAGTTGTCCAAATTGATGGTACTTTCTTGTATGGGAAATACAAGCAAGTTTTATTATTGGCTGTGGTCCAAGATGGAAACCGCAATATTCTTCCTGTTGCGTTTGCCCTCGTTCAAGGAGAAGACACTGTGTCTTGGGCTTTTTTCCTTAAAAATTTACGTTTACATGTTGTCACCAGGGAACGAGTATGCATTATTTCAGACCGAGGAGCCGGGATAAAAGCAGCAATGGACTCTTTGGGTACAATGTATAGACCTCCACATGTTCAACATCGTTATTGTGTCCGTCATATTGCTACAAACTATTACGGAAAATACAAGAAAAACGATGAACGTCAGTTAGTCGTGCGGATGGGTATGTTACTTTTCCCCAATTTTTCTATCAATTTCTTATTACTTATTTATACTTCATATTAATTATTACATATTCCTAATGGCTTAGGTTACGAACTCTTACCTCAAAGGTTTGAGTCGATGCTACAAGAGCTGTTTGGCAAAAATAAGAAGGAGTGCGAGTACATTATGGACATCAACAAAGAAATGTGGACAAATGCTTATGACGGAGGGTATCGCTATGGTCATATGACAACAAACTTGGCTGAAGCAATAAATTCAACCTTAAAGGGGGCGCGTCATTTACCAGTCACGGCGTTGGTTAAAACGACTTATTTTCGTTTGAGTCAACTCTTTGCAAAGCTCGGTGGACAAGCTCTTACTTGGATGCAAAACGACCATATTTACCACCCAAGACTAGTAGCTGATTTACAGAAAAAAGTGGCTGCATCAAATGGGATGTTAGTTACAAATTTTTCTCACACCCGTGAATTGTTTCGTGTAACCGAAATGCCACGTCCGCTGCAAGGGATTGAAGCTAACTCTTTCAGAGTTAATCTGCAAGAGAGGTGGTGCGATTGTGGTTTCTTTCAAGCACTCAAATATCCATGCTCTCATGCCATTGCAGCTTGCTCACATTCGCAATTGGACTACAAAAATTATGTTGATACCGTATACCAACTTTCACAAGTATTCAAGGTATATGAATTTGAGTTTCCGCCCATAGGAAACGAAAGAGACCCAAATGAGATTTAAACTTGGCTTACAATTGTACCAGATCCATTGTTATTGAGGGACTCAGGTCGTCCAAAATCTACTAGAATACATTGTGATATGGATATTCGGGAGAAGTCAACAGAACAAAAACGATGTGGGCATTGTAGAAACATCGGGCACAATAGAAAAAATTGTCCAGCTCTGTTATCATCATATAACCGTTAACTCTTATGTAATTAATATTTTATTTAAATGAATGTTTTTGTTTCTAATAATTTAATGTTATTGCATTTTATATAATTTCTCAATGTATGTACACCTAAATAATTTTTTTTAACTTTTAAATACATAAATATTTTCAATATATTTATTTAATATAATAATTAATATATTTATTCAATATATTTTCATGTTCTGATTGGAGGATTAAATTTATTAAATTAAATTTTCAATAAGACTAAATTCATATAATATGTAAGTCTTGAATATTAAATGTGTAATTATACTAATTTATTAACTTATGAATCAATATTTTCGTTAAATATTGATAAGAGATGACTAGATTGATAACATTTAAATATTTAACTCATAAAATTAATAGATCAATAATCAAAATAAAAAATAATAATACAAACATATGTGTAATATTATAATTTCATACATTTTTCCTATAACTACAATAAAATCAAAACTGGTTTTCATATATTGTTCTATCATATTAATGTAGATAATTCACTCCACCTTTAACACACACTAACAAAATACATTTGATAATTCTTACATTATAATCGAAACACTTTACATAATATATTACTAATTTATAATAATAATAAAAATAAAATATTTATTTATATTTATTATTAAACAAAATACCAGTGTGGCAGCCGAGTCATCAGAATCCCGTGAAGGCGCATCCCCGGGGACGCGCCTTCCACACGTGGCATCAAACTCAGCGAAAACTCGGGTAAAACGCGTCCCCGGGATGCGCCTTTCGCCAGCTCAGCCGAAAGGATGTCACTTCGAAAAATATATATCAAACGGTGCTAAAAAAATAAATATTATAAAAAACCGTGTCAGTTTGGTCAAATAGCCCTGCACCACACCCTTGTTAACCGACGCGCCCCAACCCAGAAACCATTCTCCGTTAGGTCCCAAGCCGCCCAGGTGCTTTCCCAAGATGAGCTCAAGAAACTCGCGGCCGACAAGGCAGTCGAGTCAGTCAAGTCCGGCATGATCCTCGGCCTTGGAACAGGTTCAACGGCAGCTTTCGTGGTCGACAAACTAGGCCAACTCCTTTCCACGGCCAACTTTCCAACATCATAGGAATCCCAACCTCGAAAAGAACACAAGAACAAGCTGCATCGCTCAACATTCCCTTATCAACCCTGGACTCTCATCCCCACATTGACCTCGCCATTGACGGCGCCGATGAAGTCGATCCCAACCTCGACCTGGTTAAAGGCCGAGGAGGTGCACTTTTGCGTGAGAAAATGGTTGAAGCAGCTTCGTCTTCGTTTATCGTCGTAGCCGATGATAGCAAGCTTGTTTCGGGGCTCGGAGGGAGCGGTTTAGCCATGCCTGTTGAAGTCGTGCAATTCTGCTGGAAATACAATCTGGTTAGACTCCAAGGGCTGTTTAAAGAACTGGGTTGTGAAGCAAAGTTGAGGTTAGATGGAAGTGAAAAGCCTTATGTGACTGATAATGGGAACTACATTGTGGATTTATATTTCCAGAATCCGATTAAAGATGGGTTTGGAGCTGGGAAAGAGATTTCTGCCTTGGAAGGTGTAGTGGAACATGGGTTGTTTCTGGGGATGGCTACCTCTGTTATCATTGCTGGGAAAACTGGTGTTGAGATCATGACCAAGTGATTTGTATAGGTAGAGATCTCTGGGTAATTTGTTGCAAAATGTTGAATAATCGTGGGGGATTTTGGAACTGAATTAAATGGTTAATGAATATGTAGTTTTATCATTCTTTTAGATGCAATATTGCGTTAAAATTCTGTTTTTTGGTATAACATAACAGCATTTAGTATGCTTTTCGTATATTTTCTTAACTCAATTGAGGGTACATGTACATTATCAATCTATTAAAAGAAATTATAAATAGATAATATATTATAATAATTTTAAATTATTAAAAAAATGTATATCATATAATTTTTTTTAACAATTCCTATCTTGATTAAACTCGAAACTTAAAAAAAAGAAAAATATTAATTAAGACTGAAAGCTTTTAAGTTTAACTACATATTTTAAAGATCGTTAATGTATATCATATAATTTATATAATTTTTAAGTATAATTTCAAATATAATAATGTATTCTATTCGAAATCATACTTAAAAATATAATATCATAACACTAACCGATAACACTATAATGACTTGGGTTCCATGTATTAGAAGTTAGGGTGCGTTTGGTTCACGGAATGTAAGATTACCAGTGGTAATAAAAGATTACCAAGGAATATAATTACTGGGAATGTTACATTATTGTGTTTGGTTGGTTTGGCAGGAATGTAAGATTACCGTGTTTGGTTGAAGGAATAAAAGATTATTGAAATGTATATTTTACCAAATTGTCATTGTTCTATATTTTTTAACAAGTAAAATTCTAAATATTTAAATAAAAATTATTTTAATAAAAATTTATCTGTTGATAATATATTACTTGAGTATTTAAGTATATCATATATTATTTTAATTTTAATTAATATTAAATTTTACATAATTTTTGTTAAAAATATATTAATGTTTACATTGTGTAAACTAGCTTCAGTTTATATGTGACGCATTCACTGGGAGGTTTCTTGTATTTTTCAATCGACAAGGATTACATTCTTCTATGTACAATAATTTATCATAGATATTCATAATAATAAAAAGATATAAATTATTTTTGTTATCTAAGATATAATATTTATTATATATTCTATATACAATAATTTATTTATTTATCTTTTATATTTATACTTAATTTTGCATACTTTATCATTATTATTTATCTCATGAATTTATATTACAAAAACATAATTCAAATAAGTAAGAAAATGTACAAGTTCTTTCGAGTAGTCAATCACATCATTCTTTTGACCTAATTAATTTTCTAGTAAAGTCGAAAGCAAGTAAAATGTAGGGTAAACCATCGGTTCACGTTATAACAATATGTATTACAATGTAACCCCCCTAGACCCAGCCTATGCATTTCGACTAAGACTAGCGGATTACATCCATGATTTTTAAAGACATTTTTCGAAACCCTTATTCGATCAATGTAAAATCACATTATAAATACATTTATAAAAGGATATAATAAATTATGATAAAACCTAACTCATGAATATAAAACTAAATAGTTAAAAATTTAATTTTTAAAACATGTCGTAAAAATTGGATCACCATAAACCAAATATCAGTAGCGGAAACAATGTTCATTTCTGAAACAAATACTTTAAATAAAGGCCCATGTTACTAAAATAAAGTCAACTTGAAATATAAAAACATTACAACTATATGTACTTCAAGATATATGTTGATCCTCCAAGTGCTTGATCTGGGGTATATAACCAACAGTATCTGAAAGGGAGAAAACATTTTCGAAAAGTGAGCTAGGCTCAGTGTGTCCCAATAGTACAATAAAATCATAGTAGGTACAATAAACGAGTAATGGTTCATAAAATCATCATAAAAATTTAACTTTTGAAACTCATAGTATAAAACCCTTCTCCTGTACACCATCCGCAGTTCCCCAGAACTGCATCCAATAGGGCTTTTCTTAAGCACACAGCAAAAAGGAAGCCAACCTAAAGATAGGCTTTGGGGCATGTATCCTTAAGTCCGTAAATCTATAGGGCTTACCCTAAGCACACAGCAAAGAGGGCCAACCTAATAGAGCATCTTGGGGCTCGTGAGCCTACCCAAGAGTCCATTAAGTCCGTAAGGTTTACCAGCTTGATCAGAGCTATACCTCTATAATTCAATCCAACCCAAAATCAGTATTTCAAAAATACTATTTATGCAGTAAGCATAATTTCCATAAATCAGTAAACACCGTTATCATATATCAGTCATTGTCCATAAACCATCAATAAACAGTAAAATCATAACTTTTAATGTACCATATTTCAAAACAGATAAAACAATTAAATAGTACTTAGGGAACACACCTCGATAATAGGTTCAAATAGTAGATCTAGTGATTGCTGGCCTCGCTACGCTCTGCTACAGTTTTCGAACCTAATACATAATAACACTATATTACTAATGGATAGCATAACTAATTTTTGAAATCATAAAAGTTACGAGTCATACGGGTGAATACTGGCACACGTGGTTTAACTGATATAGAGGAGCTGGGTCGAACTGTCGAGCGATCAGGATAGTCTCTTGTACCTTCAAATAATAATCATTTATCAGTCTCAAGTCTTACTTAATCATTCAAAGCTAAAACTCTTAAGTACATATGCACTTTTCGGGTTTGACTATCAATTTGGAGGCTTTAGCGTCTGAATTTGACCAAACTGATTGCGGAATCGGAATCAGGACGTCGAAAAACATAAAATATGACATTTCAAAAATTCGAATTCTTGGTCAAAGTCAAAGTCAACCACTTTGACTGATGATTTGGAGGCCTTCGGGTTCGAATTTGGCGAAACGGACTTCCGAAACGGATTCGGGACGTCGAAAACTGTCAAAATAGGTATACCCAGAAAAAGTTAACGGTCGTTTACTAGCCGGTTAAAGCTGGTCAAAGTTTTGGTCAAAGGTTCTCAAAAGTCCACAGTCAACTAATACGAAAATTACACCTTTTTCGAAATAATTTTCAAACTATCACCTTTTTCGAAATAATTCCCAAAATATCACTGTTTTAAAAATAATTACCAAAATATCACCGTTTTAACAATATTACCAAAATATCACCGTTTTAACAATAATTACCAAAATATCACCGTTTTAACAATAATTACGAAAATAGCACTCTTTTAAAATTAATTACGAAAATAGCACCTTTTTAAAACTATTTATCAAAAATCTAAACCAACACCCATTATAATATGTTTTCAATCTAAACACTGAAATATTATCCAAATTAAACGATATGACTTTACCTACGGCGGATGAACGAAACAAGACAGTTGTTGGAATGGCCGGAATCGACAAAACTTAAAACGACGATCGGGGTTTTAAGTGTCGATTTCCCTTCTCGATTTAGTCTATCTGTGACAGATTTCGGAACTGGGCTAGTCGGGGTTGGACCGATGGTCGCTGTTGAGACTAAAGAACACGACGATACACCACCCACCGATCGAAGGAGGCAGGCCGAAATGTGTCAAGGGCGAGCTTAATGAAAAATTTTCAGTTTTGGTTCACTGCACGGAGAGGGTATTATTGCAGAATTAATGGTTATATCCTAATATAAAACTAAACCACCATCTCATATTTTGAATAAAATATATACCACATGTGATGGTGGATAGGTCATTGTCTACCACTAAATATTTTTTTATTCTTAGTGCTATTATAATATTTATAGTGTTTATTATTTTATTTATAGTGCTTATTATTTTATCTATAGTGCTATTAGATATATTTTTTTTTCCTAGTGGAAAATTATGGGGCAGAGTGTGACAATTCTCCCCCTCTAAAAGAAATTTCGTCCTCGAAATTTACCTTATGAAAATAACTGAGGAAACTGAGCCTCCATTGACTCCAATGTCTCCCAAGTAGCTTCTGAGGGGCCTCGATTACTCCATTGAACTTTGACCATTGGGATACGCCTATTCCGAAGAACACGCTCATCCCTTTCTAAGATCTGAATGGGCTCTTCCTCATAGGATAAATCAGGTCTCAGCTCTACCTTTTCAACCTGAATGATGTGACCTGGATCTAGACGGTATCGCCTCAACATAGATACATGAAAGACATCATGAATACGACTGAGTTGGGGAGGCAACTCCAGCTGATATGGAACAGGTCATACCCTCTTCAATATACAAAATGATCCAATAAATCTTGGACTTAACTTACCCTTACGCCCAAATCTCAGTACTTTCTTCCACGGGGATACCTTTAAAAAGACATGATCTCCAACCTCAAATTGTATATCTTTCCTCCTTTGATCTGCATAAGACTTCTGCCTATCAAATGCTTCTTTCAAACGGTTACGAATCAATCTGACTGTGTCTTCCGTCTCACGCACTAACTCAGGTCCCAAAGTCTTCCGATCACGTAACTCAGTCCAACAGATCGGAGTGCGACATCTACGCCCATAGAGTGCTTCATAAGGTACCATGCGAATGCTGGTCTGGTAACTGTTATTGTAAGCAAATTCAGCCAACGGTAAAAAGTTCTCCCAGCTACCACGAAAATCAATTACACAGCCCCGTAACATATCCTCCAGATCTGAATCACTCTCTCAGATTGACAGTTTGTGGGTGGAATGATGTACTATAATTCAATCTCGCACCCAAAGCCGTATGTAGTGCCTTCCAAAACCTCGAAGTAAATCTCGGATCTTGATCTGAAATGATAGATAACGGAACACCATGCAATCTGACAATCTTCTAAATATACAACCTCGCCAGCTTGTCCAATGTATAGTTTACCCGCACAGGAATGAAGTGAGCTGACTTTGTAAGTCTGTCAACAATCACCCAAACTGAATCCTTTTTCGAAGGAGTCATAGGTAAACCAGTAACAAAATCCATAGTAATACGCTCCCATTTTCATTCAGGAATCTTAATAGGTTGTAACAAATCTGATGGATGTTGATGTTCTGCCTTAACTTGCTGACAAGTCAAACACCTAGCCATAAAATTTGAGATATCCTTCTTCATGCCGACCCAATGATACCTCTCTCTTAAATTCCGATACATCTTATCTCCACCGGGATGCATAGCATATGGACTACTATGAGCCTCAGTAAGGATAGT